AATTTAGCAAAACACCGATTGCTGCTTTGTTTTAAAAACAAATAACAAAATGGGGCCCGTTGCCCTTCTCCCATCTTTCACGTCTGGGCAGGGTTCGTGCCTTCCCCGCGCTCCTCCTCTCCTCCTTCTTACAGCAACGTTTCTCCAGTTGTGAAGGGAGAAGGAAGAAAAGCCCAAGTTTGCTTTTCTCTCCTATTTACTTTATCATTAAAGCTGTTGTGGATTTCCCTGGGAAACTCTACCTGGAGCATCCCAGGACCCGTACATACTTCAAACAAAATCTCCCTGCGCTCCCCTCATCTGGTCTCCATTTTGGGGTTCGTTACTGTTGTTACGAATATATTTTTTGGGGGGGATGAGGGGAAGGGAGATGAGGTTTTATTTTGTTGGGATTCCTTCTCATCCTTTCCAGTGTTGGGGGGGCAGAGTGTTGATAGCATTTTGCCATGCCACACAGCATAGTGTTATACAAGCAAAGAATTTTGGCTAAAATCCAAAAAACATTACCCAGGAAAAAAGGCAAACTGTGAGTGAGACTCGATCGTTTGTTGTTCTTCTGTGAAAAGACTTGGAAATCGTCATAGGACAGTTCGAGTTATGATTTTTCCCTTTTTGTTGTTGTTGTTTGGTTTTTGTTTTTGTTTTTTTCCCCCATTCATACATGTAACTGTTATTTTTGCAAACAAGACAGTCTTGAATTAGATGAAAAAGTTAATAAACAAAATGGCGACTCCAATATTTAGTAAGATCACCATGACTACCAGGATGGGAGCTGAGCCCTGGAAGAGAAAGAGAAAGAGAGGAATTAGGAGGCGCGTTGGAAGTCTGCCCAAGCTTTCCTGGTAGCCGGGGTCGGGCGCTGCGCTGGGTCCGGGCTGCTGCAGGGCTGTGGGGTCTGCAGATGAGCAGCCCCCAATCGGCCAATTTACACCCTCCAGCAAGTGCCTGGTAACCCTCATGGCATTTTTGTAGGCTGGCTGCCTTAGTGAGGAAGGCGTGAACCAAGATCTCCCCCTTAAAGGCGAGCAAACAGCAGGGACTAAACTATTGCCGCCGTCACCGTGACAATAACCAGGTCACCCCTAGGTCTTCTACCGAAGCACGAAGTCCTCCTAAGGCAGCCCTCTGATTCTGCGAAGGCAGACAAAATCCTTCCCCTCCTTCACCAAGAGAAGTGAACCAGGCTCTGCTGGGAGCCCCACGCTCCCTCCCCACGCTGACCCATAGCCCAAGGCACTCTCGGGGCCCGCGGCGTCCCTGGTAGTGCCGTCCCTCTTATGCCTGGGTGAGAGCCGAGCTGCTGGACTTTGGCTTTTCTGAGTCACTTCAACACTTTCTTTCCATCCCTTTGCCTCAGTAGACACCTGCAAGCCTCGGGGCAGCCTCTGTTTGCCGTCATGCATTAGCACGGATGGCACCGTGAGCCCCAGCGTCTGCCAAGCAAAGACCCGGACGCACACCCACCGCACCCATCGATTAAGACAGGAGTTGCTCCTGGACTCCCCCGTGTCATGCTCCTAGGAAATCTGGCCTTAAATGAACAACTCAAATTGGTCGCTTACCCGAGCGGTGGCCAATGAAAAGGGGAAAAACAACCAAACCCCCCCAAAGATTATATGGGATCATATTTTCCACTGAGCCTAAAGGCAGCCCAGAGAACTTGTGTTGGACCTGATGAGGCCGTGGCTGTTGGACACTATTAGCATCCCAGGAGCGATGGGGAGGGGCAGGACTGCAGACAAGCCTCCAACGCAGCTTTCTGCAGCACACCGGTCAGAAAAAACATCCACCCTGCCACCTCGTCCCTGCCATTTGCTGTCCTGAAGTGTTAACGTGGCTGGCATCAGGGTGAGCAAGCGTGTGTGCAGGTAGGTGGTAGCTATTTCTCGGAGTAGCTGGTATCCTTGTCTATTCTTGCTGCAATGGAGCTTGTGCCAGCTTTAAGCGCCTGGAAATGGTATAAGTGCTTTTCTCTATGCTTCTGTCCTCGTAACGAAGCTCCTGGGGCTGGTGGGTTGGCATGGGGCTGGGGCGGGTGCCCTTTCTAAGCAAGGAATTGTACTGCTCTGCAGAGCTGCTGGGGAAAGAAAAGGGGGGAAAAAATAAAAATTAAAAATAAAATAATAAAAAAAAAAAAAAAGGCGCTGCTGGCTGGCCAGAGATGGTTTCTCTTCTGAGCAGGCTGATTCAGTTCGCATTTGGGAGTGGGTGGGAGCGAGGATGCTGGAGCTTGCTGGAAAGGCATATTTGTAGCTTAGCAACAGCAAGCTGGCCCTGCCGCTGCCAAGCGCTGCGATGCGGTGCGTTATTTACATTTGGGGTGGGGGTGGGGGGGGTGGTGTTTAGCTTCATTTCAAAAGATTATTGGGTTTTACGATTTTTGAGCTCGTGTTAATATAATAACAGATTGCAAGCGATTATCACTGTCATTGTTGCTGTTGGCAGGGCACCACAGAGACACAAAACCCAGGCGGTTGCCTCCACCTCGCAGCCAGGAGAGGACTTGACTGCTCTCGCTCGTACGTGCGTTAGCCTTGCTCCGCTCGCCGTTCCATTTCCCCTGCCAAAGCAGCGGCGACCATTTCTGCCCCTGCTCCGCTCAGCCTGCTAGGGCGTTTCAATACCACGAAGGAGGCCAAGCTGTCCACCAGCTGACACCAGCCTGGGATAATCTGGAGGCTGCTTTCTCCTCCCTGACAAGAGCAGGACCGGCTGCCTCTTTAATTCCCTGATGTTTGAGCTTGACCCTCACACCGACATTTTGGGATGGACCTGTTGGACTGAGCGAAACCACAGCCCTTTGGTACCCACGTCCAGAGGATGCTGATGGGATGGTGCCCAGGGAGGGAGGACGCCCTTCATTTGTACATCCAAGTTGTGCCCTCATCCAGAAAAAAGGGGGAGCTAACGTGCACCTACCCACTTGCACCAGCAGCAACTGGATTCCCATGCACGAATGTTTTGCTCAGCTCCCTGGTTCAGTCTGCACCTATTTGCATCTTGCATCCTCTGTTCAATGCAGAGGCAGGAGAAAATGCTTGCTTTGCCACCGCGTATGCAGAGTCTTCCACGTTTGCCAGCAAAAGCATCCCAGAAATAGGATGTCCTGGGAGGGGAGGGGTCCCTGCAAACTGAGCCGCTCAAATCCCGTCTGGCAGCCGCCAAATCCTGCTTCCTTTTTACAGTTCCCTCTTTTTAACACCCGCTTCCCCGTGCTAACTCCAACAAGGGCTCCCCACGCAGCGCTTGCAGGTAGGGCTGCTCCCCCCTGGTGAGACACCGGCGTCTCTTAGCAGGGGCCGGAGTCCTGCCCGCGGCAGCTGGTGGGTAAGCAGCTTTGTGACTCTGAAGCTTCTGTTTTAGCTCCAATTACGAACCCTGCTGCACTTCTAAACGCTTATGTCTGGCTTATTTCTAACTTGTAAGGGCTTTGTGCCTTAACCTCTGCTCAGAGGAAACGCTTGCCCTTCTCCCCTTTGATGGCAAGGATGTCCTGGGATATTGTGTCATCCGTTCCGAAGAAATGATTCCTGCTCAGCGCCCAGGCAGAAGATGAATCACTTCTGGATTTGTGCTTTGGCAGAGGCGTTGTGCTGAGCCCAGCCTGGCGAGAGGTCAGCGCGCTCCCCTTCGCTGCAGCTCCAGCCAGCCTTTTCGAAGTAGCAGCTTTTACAACTCCTCGCGCCAGCTACCCGCACGCAGGAAAAAAAGAGCAAGAGCCCTCGATTTGCGACTTTGCGTGCTGCTTTAGTAGTTCGGTGGTGCTTTATCTCATCTTTGGCCTTCTGGAGATGTAGACAAGCCTGAAGAAATCCCCGAGGCCAGCGGTATCGCAGGCTCTGGGGTGCTAGAAAGCCAGCAGCAGAGCTGATTTTCCGCGCCTGGGGTTTACAACACTCTCTTTAGCCCCAAAATAGTAGTGCTAAAGCAGGCCATCGGGAACTGCAGAGCTTTGTTTAAACTACCTTGCCTGTCATTCAGGAGACGGGGCTCCGCTGCGAAACACCGTGCTGCCTCCAGTGCCCGCCAGTCCAGAGCCCGCTGTACTGGGAAGCAGACGCCGGTTGGCAGAGTTCTCCATCCCAATTTTAGCTGTCTACACGTTAGACATCTAGTCTGCGCTAACCATCTAGGCTGTCTCTAGACTAAGTGACGTGAGACAAATTCCACCCAGAATGGTTACCAGCCTGGCTCCAGGAAAGGAAAAATTAAATGAAGCCCTGGTGCGCCTGAGCATCAGCCAGCACGCTGGGTGATGGCAAATTTCATCAGCAAAACGAGGCAGCTCGGGGGCTGGGATTTTTTTATTTTTTTGATAATAAGCTCCCTGGGCTCCTTCATATGAGGAGGAAAACACCTGCCAAGGATGGGCATTACCTAGGCGAAAGGCTGATTCTATACAGCCAGGGGTAGTCCCCAAGGACTTTTGAAGATTTCCTCCAAAGTTTAGAGAGCTGGAACATAGACCCAAACCCATGGAAACACTAAAAACGTGACTAAACCCTGGTTATGGCACAGGGGTGATGCACGACAGTAATGGTGGCTGCAGAAGGAATGAGCAAAGGCTTCCTCCAGCCGGCAGGTTTGGGCACGCGGCCGCTCTGATGGCGGCTGCACCGGTTCTGCCCCTCCATCTTGTTTGGTTTTACCCCTTAACTGTTGTGTAGCAACTCAGGAGCCTTACTGGGAATACAGGGGACAGCTGGTTTACAAATACAATTGTAGCATAATTAATTAAGCATTATCAATCCATTATTACCTGTTATCGCAGGGTACAAGCTCTGTCTCTCTGCTATGGAAACCACAGTGCAGGTTACCTAGGGATCCCTCTGGGATCTGTTAAGTGTAATTACTAAGGACTTGGATCAGCAAAAAATATAAATGCGTTGTTTTCCAGCCTCAGCGCTGGGGAAAGTGCCGAAAACTTAGCGGTTCCGTGACGTTCTGTGCTGAGTTGTCACATAATTGCCAGGAACAGGCTAAGGAGCGTTTAGCAAAAGAAACAGAAGGGATTCGCTTTGCTCTCTCCGGCGTACTACGGCATCTCCTGGGGCTTGAGGAAGGGAGCCCGGGAGATGCTGAACGTGCAAGGAACGGGTACTCGATACCTGCGTGCCTCTGGGTGGGGCGGGATGGAAAAACCTGCTTCTGCAGAAAAAAAATGTAAGTGGCTACACGGAACATGGGGATTTATCCCCAGATGGTGTCTCTTAATGAACTATTTTGTCGCCTCTGGTTCAGTCCCCACATTACAGGTGCCCACGTAGCCGGGAGCGAGCTGCGTGTTTGGAGCTGTACGCCTGGTTTTTAAGATTTTTGGTTCTCGTGTGGTCAAAAGCTGGTGTTTGACCCCAGCTTCTTCAAAGCTAGCAGGAGCTGCGGAGTTGGGCTCAAAACTCTAAAATGAATCCAGGATGGCAGGAGCTAAGTCAGCGAGGTGATCTCTTCAGGTACATCAAAGAGATTAAAAGGGCTTTTAAAGGACGCCGTCAAGCTAAGCATCGCATTTCTCTCTGAACATTATTTACCTCGTGTTGTTACAAGTAATGCCTGCGATGTCTGTACATGGAAGAGATGAGAGGGAGGACGGTTTCCGATTATTAAAAAGAAACAACCCCCAAGAGCGACGGCTCCTCCCATGCAGGCTGCAGCCCCAGCAGCCGTGCTCAGCCCCGGCCCGTCTCTAAAGGTGCGACGGCAACTGGGTGGCTGCAGGACACCCACGGGATTACATTATTCCCACGGAATTACAGCCTATGCTCGTACGGCCACGTGTACC